AGGTGGAGGGAGGTGATCCTGCCCCTCTCCTCAGCCCTGGGGAGGCCTCACCGGGAGTACTGTGTCCAGTTCTGGGCTCCCCAGTACAAGAGAGACATGGAGCTACTGCAGCGAGTCCAGCTAACATGATTAGGGGACTGAAGCATCTCTGATACGAGGAAAGGCTGAGAGAGCTGGGCCTACTTAGCCTGGAGAACAGATGACCGAGGGGGGATCTTATCAATGTGTATAAGTATCTGAATGGAGGCTGTCAGGAGGATGGGGCCAGACTCTTCTCACTGGTGTCCAGCAATAGGACGAGAAGCAACGGGCACAAACTGGAACACAGGAAGTTCCGTCTGAATGCAAGGAAAAACTTCTTTCTTGTGAGGGTGACAGAGCACTGGAACAAGTTGCCCAGAGAGGTTGTCCAGTCCTCCACCCTTGGAGTTATTCAAAAGCTGTCTGGACATGATCCTGGGCAATGTGCTCTAGGTGAAAGCACTTGAGCAGGGCGGTTGGACTACATGATCTTCAGAGGTCCCTTCCAACCTCAACCATTCTGCAATTCATGCCTAACATTCTCTTAAGACTTTCATGATGGAGATTTTACAGCCTTCCCAGATCGGCTCAAGTTAATCCATGTACCTTTTTGGATTGAAGTGATGATTTCTGCAGGAACATGAGTCCTCGCAGAACGCACAAGAAAAGATAAATGCAGAGACTCAAGATACTTATAGCTCATAGCGATAAAGGTAAAATTTATGTGGGTAGAACAAGCAGGAAAAAAAAAAAACATTCACGATTTGATTCTTTCCAGCTGCAAATGCCAGTCCTATAAATTACTCTGTAAGGAGATTCCTCAGGTGTACTGTGCCTCTGGCTGCAACCATTTTTGTGGGAAGAGATAAGGTGGGAAGGAGTGAAATTTAAGTAAGAGAGTGGTTTCAGCTTGCTCCATAATCTCTTATCTTCCCACAATTCTGAGCTGCATTCTTTATTCCACTTTTCCTGGATTATTATGACTTTTGAAGAACACATTGCTAGGAGAAAGACAATTGCCCTACCTCAGTTTGCACCATCAGAGGTCGATGCATACGGAGGTCATATACCACCCCATACACGTCCACAGTGTTCTCCATTTCAATCTGCTGGATCAGACGGTCGATGGCAATGAAAGTCCCCGTCCTTCCGACACCAGCACTGCAACAACATGGGAGAAGTTATTAACTGCTTCCTTCAATCACAGGCTCCCTGTCAGTCTGAAGAAAAGTCACTGAAGTCGGTAGGATTATTTCTATTATTTCAGTGGCACAGGGATCAAAGGCTCTGCAGTCCATAGAGGCTCTTATTACCATTGCCCAGAAGGAGGGAGGACACCCTTCTGGGCTTTCCAGCCTTGCAGCTTGCATAAGATTATGTACTAAAGCGCTTGACAAGGCAACTTTTTAGGCTAAGTTTTCCAGCCTTGGAGAGATATTTTGTCCTGATGAACTTTCGTATCACGTACTTTGCCATCTGCATAGCATTGCTATGTTTCTGAGGCATGGGGCAAAGGTCTTAATATGACAAGATGAATAGTTCTTAAGCAGCAAAGAGACTCCATGCTCTTTCACATATATATATACTTTTTGAACACATTGAAAAAGAATTCTTCTTAAAAAAAACCCAGCAAGATGAAAGCGTGTCTAAGGCGAAAAGGTTCTTTCTACCTGCAATGCACCAGAGTAGGAGAGTCGACAGGATTTTGACTGTTGTATTCCTGAACAAGGTGCCTGAAGTTGATGAGGAGGTCTGTCGTCTCTGGCACTCCGTGATCTGGCCAGGAAGTAAAGTGGAACTGACGCACCGTGTGAATCTCTGATGCGTTGGACTAGAGAAATACACATTCAAAAAAAAAGAAAACAATTAGGCTTTGAAAGAACAATAGTAGAGCTTCCTGCCATACGTATCGGTCAAAGCTTAGCTTCATTAAAGTTGGCTGTTACAAACTCTGTAGTACTTTGATAAATGTTATTCCAATTCCTCTCTCCCTTCTGTTCTAGCAAAGAACATTTTAAAATAATTTCCTTATGCTTTGCACTTTACTCCAAGATCTGCTTTGCAGCATTACACTCGCCGACAAAGATGTAGCCAACTGTTCAGTCTAGCTTCTATATTCCAAGTATCTGCATTTCTTGCTGTGCATAAGCACAACTTCTGGCACAAGTCTGAGGTAGACATGAGCTGCAGGATTGCTGCTGGGGCAGCCAGGAATTCCCATTAGCAGGCTGAATCTTGCTGGCAAATACCTTTCTCTCACAGGAAGCACCTTACTGACAGCTCATTCCCACACCTAGTACTAAAATACTGTCCTGGAAGGATGGGGCAGATGAACAAATGCACATACATAAGTATTACGGGAATCTCATTGTCAATAGACTGCACAAAAGATTTGAAATCAGGTTTTTGGCAGAAAGGAAACCAGCTCACACACAGCCCCAAATTAAAATAAACCACTCTTACTCTTTCTCCTTAGGTAACTTTGAATTTGATTTTACGGTTTAGTGAAATTATTATATCCTGCCATTCCCAATTTGTTTAGCATGTGAAGTCACAGTGACACAATAAATCCACCTCTAAAGATATTTGTACACAACTAAGAGTTGGGGAGCTACTCACATTTTCTACGCTGAAGTCCCTTATTGTCCATTCTGGGAGGACAATCTCTGAGATCGTTGTCACAATAATGTCACCATATCTCATGGACTGATTATCTGGCCAATACTGCTCACATTTTGTCTAAAAAAAGAATTAAAAGGTTAGATACATTACACTGAATAATGAAAGAGAGGGGGAAAAAATAAAAAGAAGAACATGGCAGGATAGTTTCCTGTGATTCCATCTTGGCCTAGAAGTAACTGAATGCTAGTTTTAAATACTAACTGGCCACATGAAGTAGGGTTGGAAAGCACTTCACCCTTCCCAATGGCCCATGCCAAGGCAGCAGCAGTTCCACCTAAACCATCCTTTAGGTAGAAGAACCCACCTTTAAAGATGGAGAGGCCACAACCATCCTGAGACAAGCTATTCTGATAGTCAGCAGATATAACAATTGGAAAAGCTGAAAAAACTGAGTTTGTTTAATTTGGACAACAATCTTCTAATACGTAGATGCTTGCTATAAGAAAAGAGTGATGAATCTCCAATCTACTGGGGCTAATAACAAAAATCAACCTGCAGTAAAGAAAATTTAAATAGAAACAACCTTTAAATAGAAACAACCTATTCTACCAAAGAGCAGAGTATTTCTTGACTTCTAGGCTAGTCAAAATAACCCACATATGATGACCTAGATATGATGCAAAAAAAAAGGCTGCTTGAAAGGGCTAAAAGTTGGCTTTTGGCATGGGAAGGAACACCTTTGCCAACCTCCTGTCCAAAGAGCTGCTTGCTGCTTCCTGGACAATGACAGCAGTGATTATCTGGGTGCCTAAGGCCTTTTTAGGTATACTCATGCAACAACAACAACAAAAGTATATTAATATTCCTCTGGACCCAAAATATATGCATTTTGTATTATGTGTGCATCCAGAATGCTCTTTGCCCACAAAAGAGTTCTTATTTGACATTTACAAAATGTTGTTAGTATTCTCACTGTCGATGGGAGAGATACTTGGCTCTGATTGCAAGGGAACTAAATTAGGTTTCAATTAGAAGTTTAGATTTATTACATTGAAACAGAGTTTATAATAAATATACATACATACCTATACACATACATATGTACATAAAAATAAATAAGATCAAATGAATTTCAGTAAAGGCAAAAATGCTCAGTTAAAGCCACCTGAGCAAACTTAAAATGTTCTGCCACATTCCATACACTACCAGTATATAAATAATCTTCTCACCTGTTCCTAAGGTAAGAGGAGACCACTATCCTACATTTGGAACCAGTTTCTGATGTTTTGATTTTCCTTGGATATACCACTACCTTAAAAAGCAATTCCTAGATGCTTTCGAGGAACTTTTAAAAAGTTCACAAGATATTTAAAGACAACTGTGCAATACTGAGCACAGAGGAAAGTCCTGCTCTGCCCCAGACACTTCTGCAGACAAGAAGAAGTAAGAAATTCACATCTATTTGCAGTGTTTAAAGACTTCAGGGAACTAGATGCTATGTGGAAAATGCATGTGAGATGTGAATGAGAAAAGATTCAACTTTCTTCAAAAGACAGTTCAGTTTAAAAAAAAAAAAGAGAGACATACCCGGGCTTGTTCAACACATTTGGTCAACATAACAATAGAGTAGATATTCTTTTCCCAAATCATGCGCCAGAAGTCATCTATAGTATTGGGTAAAGGACCTTGTGCAGCAATAAATGCCTTCTTTGAAGTATAACCCTAAGAGGATAAAAATATATAGAGAGATATATACACCTGCATTAATGATGAGATATAAACCTGATTTCATATATCATGGGATTTTTAAAGCTACTACATCATAAAAATACACCTTATTTTTCATTTCAACTAATTAAGTCACTTACAGGCATATAGTTGGCATTAATGTAATCATCAGCTGCAAGGCTTCGGGCTGAAAGTTTAACACGAGAAATATCATCTGTAGAAAGGAAAAAAGAAAAGAAAATGGTGAATTCTAGAACTAGAACCTTTTAGTAAAATATTGCATGCCTAAGGCATGGTTTCTAAACATTTATTTAAAAAATGTTTTCTTAAAAACAATACGCATTTTAACAATAAGAATATGTGGCTCTAACTTTAGGAATCAGAAATAGCAGCAGTTTAGAATTTTTGTTATGAAGGCCTACAGAAAAATAAGCAGCCAGTATAAATCAAAAGAATTTTCACAACACACTGATTTTTAAAAGAGTTTGTTCTTGCACATGAATGCGGCTTTTTTTACATGTGTATAGACTGGAATTTTAGAGACCTTTAAGGGACAACTTAAGACAAGGCTTTGTCAGTATATGGCAATACAATGCATTTATTTAGAAGAAAATATAATGATAGTATTCTGCAATTTTAGCAGTTAAAAACTTGACTCAAAAGTTCTAGATTTACTGTCTACAGTCAGATTTATTTTCCTTCATATCCATCATGAAACTGACTGTGATTGTTATTATGGGAGAATAATAGGCAATTTCTCTCCTGTTGACCTTGCAGGTGGGTTTTCCCTCCAAAGCATGCACAAGTAGATCTCACTATTCACTTTCCAATTTCTCCTTACGCTCTCTTTACTGAGATGCTTAGACAGCTTGACAGTGGTTAGGCTGCTCACTTGTCTGCAAAGTTGGCCAGCACCGTCTTAATATTTCTCATCATTCCCCACATCTATCTTTCTGTAGTCAACTGCTGCCTCTTGTCTCTAAATCTGGACTTTAAGTTTCTTACAAATGAAAATCAAAAATGATTTAATTAAGAGGTGCTGAGGAAAAGTTCTTTAGGCTTGTAAATATAGTGATTTTGGGAAAGCAGCATCCCAAGTTCATGCACTTTTTATTTACTTAGAAATTGATAATGTTAATCCCTCTTTGAAACCTTTTGGTACTGTTAACAGCAAATTAACCAAACACAAGCTTTTTCACCTAAAACCTCAATCAGGAAAATACGCAAAACCTAGGAGAGTAACTTACACGGCAAGACATTGTTGTATCTATTTTTCCCCCTGTTTTCAGGAAGTTCAGCAGCAAATTTGGGCTGATGAACACCAGCAGGCCTGAGTTCCTACAGTAAAAGACAGATTCATGAGCACCCAGTTTAAGAATCGTACAGAAAGATGTGACTGAAGCAAACAAATATTCCAAAACCTCTCCACCTTTGCTGTTAGAGTAGGCATGTTAAACTGGGAAAAATGATGATAAAAATCAGCTCTTCTCAAACAGAGTGGAAAGGTGCCAGCAGTAAACTCACAGAGGAGGGATTAATAGTACGTTTAAAGCCCAGAAATGGGCTTTAAATGGGCTAGATGTAATGGTTCAGGATGTGAAGCATTTTGTGTATACATCAACTAAACTGGGAGCTGGGAGCTGAATGAGGGAAGGGAATGTGACACATGCACATTAACAATCTCTAATAAAGGTCCCTTCTTCTTCTTTCCCCCTTCAGTAAACTTCATGCACACTCCATGCATGGAGCAACAGAAAGCTAATTTGTTTTACAAAAATATTTGTCATGAAGCTCTCCCCGCTGAGGACACACACCTCATACTCTTCAGCAAAACCGCAGTTGGAGTCAGCTTGCTGCTTCTTGAAGTAGGGCTCAAAGTTTTCCACTTTAATCAGTTTTGATCTAAAACAAGGAAAGATATGTATTAGTACTGATATTAGGTAAATAAACCATGAATTTAGTTAATGTGCAACAAAATGTGCTTCACTTACTTCTTGACTCTTCAGGAGAGGGGAAAAAAAAGAAAAAAAGTTTGATTAGACACACACAGTTGTATTTTTCACTATGTGAAACTAAGAAGGAAAGCATGACTCTGATAGTGGCACCCACAAAACTGTATATTTCCAGGGGAGGGATATCAAGGCACAGCATTTAACTGATCTGTTCTGGCCAAGGGGAGAATAGCACCTCCTTCAGAAGAAGCATGTAAAAGAAGGTGTCAGTTGGCTGCTCCTGTACTTCTCATTTGGATCGGCCCCAAGCCCTAGTATATTTTATGCCAGCTACCAAAGTCTACACAGGTGAGACTCCATGGGATACTCTCGCCGTGCCTTTCCATCAGCAAAGGTGGTGCAAGAGACAATAACATGGTTCACTTGCACTGCCTGGTATTGCTAGTGTTGTGATTACCCTCCTTCGGCCAGCTATTGCAGTTTCATATCATCTGAATTGATGACTCAGCATAAAGTAGCCATAAAGCAAAGAAAAATCGAGGCCACAGTATAGGATTTAGCTTATGTGCACTTTATTGAAAGTTTGGATTATTCCCTCAATGTGCACAAAAGCCTAAGTTTCATGCAGACATGAAATTTTTCAAAACTGCATGAGGCATTTTTATATCTAATGGCAATTCATCATAGTGGGAAGCGAGTACTCAGATCCCTGTGGCAGCTGTGGAAGTCTCAATCGATATGATTATTTTTAAACTGCAGGCTGGAGTCTTTAAATTCCACAAGGAATTACTACTGCAAAATTCTATATAAAACCATACAGAAAATAAGTACCAGGTTTCACAGCAAGTTTTGCAAATATCTCCTGGGGTCAGAAAACATTGTGTGAAAGGATATTGACTTACTTAATTGGAGAAAAGGACATTTCAGTATTTCTTCTATCTTTCCTATAAGGAGAAAGAAAAGAATACAAGAGGCTGACGGTGAATTTATGGAATTCATACGAGATTCCTGACGAGCCATTTCCTGTGCCTGTTCAGAACAATTTCTGCTACAGCATCTCACCCTGTGCAAAAAACCTCTGAGGCAAACCTCAGAGGTTACCTGCAGTAACAATGAAATACTTCACTCCTCGTTCAATGATTTTTTTTACACTGGGGCTGCTTTTTTCTGTTGGAACCAGAGCAAAACACCTGAACATAAAGCATGCAGTTTTGGTGCAGGCGGTCCCTTTGAGGGACGTGCATCTGGAACTAACATCTCTGCAAAATCGCAGCTAATCCCACAATCGCTACTGGAAGCGTTAAACAGTGATGTGAGCATCAGTTGTACTGGAAAGAGGTAGCTGACTGAAAACAAACGTTCCTAGCTTCAGAGGACGATGCTCTCTCATGATAGTCTACAGCTACTGACACACATGGAAGCTTGTGGGAAGAGCAGCTAGTCAAAGAAGCAATTAAAGGATAGCCATTAATGGATGTTTTCAGATAAAAACCCCTAAGATAAAGTTATGCATGTCTTCTAGCACTATAATCGTGATGTTGGCTCACTTCTGACTGAATTAGTTCAACAGTGTGCACGAATTTGCAAGAGCTAAATGAAGCAGATCTTGACCCACTCATATACTATGGGGTTGAACATTTTTTCAGCCAAATCATTTCACTACTTAGATGTGACAACTTTCATCTGGATCACAGAAGAAGATTCTCAATATATTGTATTTTAAAGTACTATACTGAAAATATGTAACAGGAATAGAGGCCTTTTTAGCAGAAAGATACAGATGTGGAATACTGGTGTTCTTTATCATAACAAATTGATAAAAGAAGATGCATTACCTTCTCCTTTTCCAGAATATGTAACCTCCTATAGCGACCACAGCCAATATAGCTAAAAGGCATCCAATAACAGCGCCAGCAATAAGACCTTATGAAAAGACCAGGTATTTCTCATTATTGATTTACCTCTTTGCAAATGATCTAATCAATCAGCATGCTACAAGAGAACCTAGCAAGTGACAGAAAACAAGAGAAAGATGCAGCCAAAATATACACACACTCAAAAAAAAAAAAAGTGATCATAAGCAGATCAAAGTCTTATAAGGAGTAGCTCATTTTTACTTTCCACTCAGTTATCAAAAAAATTCACAGATTGGCTATTAAGAAGGCACTCTATTTTGAACATTTCGACAGTACAATAATGGTAGCAAGGTCAAAATAAATGGAATATTTTTTTTTAATAACCACTTCAGATTTTTATTTACATGGCAAGTGAGATTTGAGTCACTACACCACCTTATAACAGATAGTTTCGGGTGTATCCAATTTAACTAGAACTTGCAGTTTATTACACAGGCTGTGCCCAAGAGAAGGTAGGACAGTCCCAAGCCTAGAAAGCATATAAGAAAGTATCATAAAGAAAGCAATGCCCCATTTGTAACAACTGCAGAAGATCCCTGTCTTATCACCTCCACTTTACAGATGGAAAACTGAGGGAAGGAGGGCCAGGTTTTCAGATGTGTTCACGTGCCTTAAGTTCAGAGCAGTCCTCTAGCTCACTAAGGTGCTTTTGCAAATCCCGCCAGATGTCTACATCTGGATTTTGAAATAAGTCCTAGACGCACATTAAACTGAAAGTCGAGTAGGGAATTGAACTGTGTGAGCAATGCACCTAGAAGCACCACTCTGCTCTGCTAAATGTTTTCTCTTCTTCACTACATCCTTCACCAATACCACAATTGAGAGCTCAAAAAGAACATGGAGGATAAATGAATAAAAATGAGGATCAAAGGATCAATATTTGTCTTCTAACACACCAGCTTCTAATTTACCAGAACTGTTACAATAGCCACTTTTTGCTACTTATTTCTGTATCAAAGTCTGACTCTGTCACCCAAACACTTTTAGCAGCAAAACACTTTCAGTAGCAGGGTTTTTGGTTACTTCTGTTATGGCAATCATTCATGGGAAAAAAGGCTACCTGCAGAACTAGCAAGGTATGGATTTACAGAGCAGGGGCACTGCAAAGCTAAAAAGGAGCAGTCCATCACAACAAGATCGACAGGTATTTTGCTAATAATTACATCATTTGCCATAATTACGGAATCTCCACACACTGCACATGTGCAAAGCCACCAGTCCTACATCTTACATTAGGCATACCTGGATCCTGGGGCAACAAAACCTGCTCAGAACAAGGTGAAAACGATGCATAACTGTATTCTCCCACAATGATGTCAGCCTCAGTAAAGTTTATCCTAGTGAAACCCGCCACACGTGCCCTGTTTACAAGGGAGGGGAAAAAAAACAGGTATGAGAGATTGTACTAACAGCCTTAAACAAGATCTGTGATCTCTTCATTAAATGCTGCTTTAGATTTCAACTGTTGTAAAAAATAACCAAGCAGTGGTGTAAGATAAATACCTGTATGAATGAAGTGGACTCAGTGGTCCATTTTCATAGCCACGCACAGTATTTCCAGTGCCTACATTAACTGTGAGTGTCCTGTTCCGAGAACGTAAAGATGACTCATTTGCTTGTCCCGTATCTACAACATATGTTACATATGTGGCCGTCTTCTTTTGCTTAAAGTCTTTGTATGTGTTGTTCAGCTGAGGCTTTGAAGACCCACAACCTTCTGGAAAAACAAAGATAAAGTGGTACACATCACCCTTTGTTTCTGTAAGAATGAGCAGAGTGGCTGAGGGGGTAAGAGCATGTCATGTAATTCCAGTTGTGATTATTCCATAAATATTTGCTGAAATTAAAGGCTAAGTGCAACAGACACAACCCCAGGAACTCCCTCTACTGCAGTGCGATTTACTGAACTACTCCCCAGTGTTGCTACTGCTAATATTCTTTTGGTTTCATTTCTACCATGTAGGGTGGAGCTTCTCTATAAAGGTGTGTTAGTAGTAGATTCTGGTGTCCTTACGCACGCCTCTCACTAGAGAAGTAAGTCACATCCAAACCCACTCTATCTACTAATGAGCGTAGAGAATGCTATGCAACCAGCATAGAAAAGGACAACTTGTGTTTGACAACATCATGCCACCTAACAGAGTCAAGCTTCATTCAGGACGATGCTAAACTTGTCTTGGTCTACACTGTCTGCAGTGCCTACCCAGGAATCAAACGTGACTCCACAGAACTAGGTTAACACACTGGGCTTTTATTTCTAAGCAGGACAAGTGCTAACAGTGAGAGAGTCACCTTGCCTCACTGGAGCCAGTCAGAAGTCAGCTGAAGTTGGTCCAGGCTCTCTACTTTCAATGGAGGGAGACAGAGATAAGTGAGGCACCTCCACAAGGCAATCTGTCCCATTCTGAAACGGATGGGATGAGTCTTTGTCTAGAATTGCTTGCCTGTGTCTTTCACACCTAAAGCCTAAGAGAGCTACTTTTTGCCTTCTCCTGCCACAGACAAGGATTGGACAAAATGACCAGGATAGCTTCTGAGTCCAGAAGACTCAGAAGAACTGGCTACTGCAGTCCACGACCAACAACACCCCCTCTGCAGAATGGTACGACTTTACAGCGTCTACTGTTAAAAGCCAAATTGTAAGGATGTTATTGTTGCCCTTGACAAATTTCAAGCATTGACAATAAATAGTCCACACAATTTGGTGACTTGCGTTATGCAAGTAAGACTACTGCTGTTGGACACTAAAGCCATGCAATTACTTTTAAAAATCAAGCAGGTAAACATGATGTTTAATCTGACGCTGTTAAATTCCTGGTAAAAGTAAAGCAAAAGCACAGCAGGCAAACATTTCATACAGCGTGGAACAAGGCTGTTAAACTACATTAAATCATTCTTCCCATTCCCACTTTATGATTCTGTCAGGGAAAAAACGAACCCTAGAAATTTGAGGCAAATAGTTGAGGCATGTCTGAACTAACAGGTAATAATACCAGTTAATTACCAGTTCAAATTACCAGTTGTTGGAAAACTCAAGAGCAAGCAAACTGAGGTAAAATATTCAAAGTGTTAAGGGAGAAGGGAGCACCTTGCTCATATGACTGAAGGTTGTGTATATCGCTCTCTGCAGATTGCCTTTACAAAGCTAAACGATCCTTCTAAAAGCTGATATACTACTGAATTGATCTTTAAAAAGAAGTTGAACAGGGGCTCGAAGAGGGCTGCTATGTGGAAAAGCTCCAGCAACTCTTCTACAGGTGCGTAGACCAGGTTTGATCCAGTACTCACCACAACCAACAGCAAGGTTCTCATCAACTATAACTGCGCAGGTGAGGTGTGCAAGGTGGCTCTCCTAAAGTACTAATTTGGTTACATTAACACAGCTGATGCTGGAATTAACTCAGTTGCCTGGAAATGGGTGTTCAACGCCATCTGAGATATGTCAGTGTCCTGCCTGGTCCCTAGTTTCCATTCCAAAACAATGTACATCCTGGCTTACATCTGCAGCCCCATGAGGATGTCTTGGATACCACGAAGGGAATCTCGTATAGCCTTAGACACTACTGCTTAAGCAACTGAAGAGAGTCCCCTCCGCCTATCCTAAAGGTAATGATGCTCCAAACGGGGGAATTATTTTTATCAGCTGCTTAATTCCTCCAGTGCACTGGCAGCAATAAAAATGAGTTCAACCAAAAACCTATGCTGCAAAGATAAGTTCCTTTATTTTATGATTTACCACTAGACATTCAACAAATAGGGGAGTTTCTCTGATCTGTCATTTTAAAGAGGTCAGTTGTACAGACCACCCTTTAGTTTTCCCATAGTGTTCAATTTCCCATACCATACGATGCTGACGGTCCTAGTCAAGCCTTCCAGCTGCACCCTATCTCAATAAAGTGTTGTAAGTGAAATCAGAAGGAAAGCTGTCATCCCTCTAATATTTTTTTAGACACCTTACTGCAAAAATCTTCCATCTGAAGGAGGGAGGGAAGACATTCCAAATCCCAAAGCTGTTTATATTAGTGGTTCTGAAAATTATTTTGTGGAAAAAAGGATACTACACAATCTTGTGGCAGGAACCATCGACAAATCAAGATGGCAACAGCACAGTGGCAATATTGCCACACAGAAGACTTGTATACCAGGATAATTCAGGCTGCTAAGGGCTCCAAGCGAAGCAGTGGCTTTCTGAAAACACGGAGCAATATGACTTCAATCAAGTAAAGTATTTGCCTCATGATTTTTGAAAGGCAAGCGAAAATACTGACTCAGCTTTTCCTCTCTTCATTTAACATCTATTTAGAGCTTAAAGCTACAAACTTCAGAGTAAAATTTTTGTCCTGACATAATGCTGTCTGATAAACTGTTTCACACAGCTAGGAGATAATATCATAACACCTTACCTGGTGCTTCTGTTATGATGATTACTGCATAGGCTTTTAACGGTCCATTTACTGACTCAAAATCAGAGAATTCAACAGACAAGGAGGTGTGACTGATTGCCTTGACGAAAGGACCTTTAGTAGGAGCAGGTGGGTCTATAAACAGGTAAATATTTATTAGTACCTTAATGACAAGTATATAAAAGTTTTCGAAACAAGAAAATACTGTAACAATGACTCTGTTCCCATAATGAATATTTATTTGTGCATCATATCAGAGTTCACATAAAAGCAGTGTTTTATTCATAACCTGTATACTGATAATGTACTGTAAATCCAACCTGCTATCCTCTAATCCTGAGGTTAATTTTTTCATCCTATAAGTATCTTTCCAGTCCCAAACCTTAATACTTACCAGTAATGCTTGTCTTGCACATTTTCTGCACCGGAGAGCTTTCCTTTGTATCTGAAAGGGTTGTGATACTAACATTGTAGGTGGTGAAATAATTTAAAGATCCTATTCTGAAGGTTTCTTCTGAGTTTTCTCCTGTACAGCGTGAAATCTGTTGTTCTTTTCCCCACGTATCATTAAATATTTTAATTTTGAAGCCAGAATTGTTACCAATAGGACATTTCCATTTGAGTGTTAGGGTAGACTCTCTGACCACTGGTTCACACTGAAATGAAGTCACTGAAGCAGGAACTGCAAAAATAAATAAGAGCATAAGAGTGAAGGATGAACTCGCATACAGAGAAGAGATTACAAATGGCCTCAAAGGGTAATTAGACAAGAGGAGCACTAGGGTCACCATACATGTGGAGAGGGTCTGGAGAACAGCCCAATGCTGAAAGAGAAGCAGCCACTGAAAATTCTAACATTTAAAGCTTGAGGAAACCATTATTTGACTGCCCTGCTCCAGTTGATTAGTCTCAGGGAAGGTCTAGTAAGAACTGTGGGAGCCAAAACAGTGCTGAATCCCCCAGTACAACATCTGATTTGCAATGAGATAACAGATTTTACAGTTTGGGATAATACCTCAGTAAACACACCTGAAAACACCTTTGCACCTTGAGAGATTCACATTTTGAAATAATGCTAGAGGACATTTCTTCAGAGTCTTGCATAAACAGCTAAAAAGTTGGCAATAAAAGCAAGTAAAGAACCCCTTTATCTTGGCTTACTCAGATTTATGAACATTATGCCAACACTACAAAACAAAGATAATTTCAGAGCATAGCAGCAGCCACCCTTAAAAGAGCAATGTCAGTTTGGGCGGGCGACCTATAGGACATAATCTAAAAATTGCAGCCTTATGACAGATTGAAAAAGATCTTTTAAAAAGCTAATGTAGCAGTGATACTAAGAAGAAAGGTCCCTCTAAAGTAAACAACTTAAAAAGCTTGGCCTTCAAGACCAAAATTCTTACTTCTGCCATTATAACACATATCACATGTATTGCATCTCCTGACACGAGAGTATTTGGTACTTCCAAATACAGGGGTAGAAAGACTCCTGGATTAAATTATTCTATTACAATAAGGGTATTATTTTAAGAAACTAAGGGGAAGCGACAAAACTGTTATACTGGAAGAAACAGATTTAGCTGAAAGATAAATACGAGTGACTATGACTTATTTGTCTTGAGGCTTACAGATACTCCTCCTTCAGACACACTGACAGCTGCTACTGCAAACACTGAGAAATTTTACACAGGTTCCAGGGATTAAACCTGTAGCAACAGTTCTGGTGAAAAGGGTTGTCTAGTTTCTGGAGGGAAAATCATAACTTTAGACTTGTATATTGAAGGTATGGTTAGAAGATGTGTCACCTATGCCCCATGTTAAAATGAGAGCAAGACACTTCACCCAGAGGCAGAAAACTGGGTTAGTCTTTGTGAAAGACAAGGCTCAATAACATAGGCTGGGGGAAAAAAAAAAAAAGAAAAAAAAAGCAAGTAGAGGCACAGCCACACTTTCACATTTTGCACAGATTGACCATTACGCGTAGCCAAGCAGCATTCTCACAAAACTAGAGTCTCATTTAAGGGGACTGATAAACCTGGGGCACCTCAGGAAAGCCCACAGAGGATCTTTAGGAGAAGATTCACTTCACCTCCATTAAAAAGACAAAAAGAAAGAGAAAGAACACAAGAGCACATGTTCACTGAAGAGACAGACAGTCGCAATAACTAAAAAGAGGAAAACAGGCATTGCTGAAGCACCTCACCTTCTTACTCTCTGCTCGTGAGTTGAGCAGGGAAGACTCAGTGCTGAGGCCACCCAGCACGGGGCTGCTCAAAGCCCACTCTCCTCCTGCAGCCCGAATGCAGCAAGGGCCTGCACAGCAACATAACAGGTCACCAGAAACACGCACATGTGAATGCAACTTACTTGTATACAGGCTTATGGGCACTCCCTCTCCTTCTGTCTGAGCATCAGCCGCCACTGCAAATACTGTGAACGTGTACAACGTCCCAGGCTGTAAGTCGGCAATTTCAGCTCTGGTGACATTGGACGTCAGGTTCCTAGGGGAGGTACCATCACTTTTAATCTCTATCCTGTA